ACTCAGACTGTGAAAAAGCTTTGCTTTCCACCATGTGGGCAGTTAAGTACTTTGCGAACTATATTGGCGGCCAGAAAATCATCATTGAGACACAGCACCAGCCGGTGACCTTCCTTAACAGTCAGCGCACCAGAGATGGTGTGGTGACCAATTCGCGGATCGCGTCATGGCTGCTGGCTCTTCAAAGCTTCGACATCGTGGTGCGCTATGCCCAGAACCGACGTAGCCCTCTTGGCATGGGTTTGGCTGCGTGCCAACACTGCTTGGACGACGCCATCGCGTCAGTCCCGCCAGCCAGCCCCCCTCACTCTTCTAAACCACAACCACCACTATTACGACCAGTCATTCTGTGCGGATTTGCCGACCGTGTACGTAGATGGCAGTGCTTTTCCGCACGGCCCTGCGCCTAGAGCGGGCGTAGGTGTCGTCTGGGTAGACGGTGACCAGAGGGAGTCCCAATGTTACTCTCTGGGTGAGAGGACCTCACAGTTTGCTGAAGTAGCGGGGATCGTGATTGTGCTACGCAGCGCTAGGGACCGCGGCTTCCGTGAACTGGTGATTTGCACTGACTCGGACTACACGCGTCTCAGTTTCATATGTCATCTACCATCTTGGAAGAGTAACGGGTTCCAGACCGCTAACCGGAAGCCCGTCAAACATCAGGCCCTCTTCAGGGCATGTGACATTCTGATGACTGCACTTGACATGCACGTTTACTGGCGTAAAGTCAAAGGTCACTCTCGCGCACCCGGTCCAGAAAAGGAGTTGAACGATCTCGCAGACTCTTTGGCCAAATGGGGCGCGACCGATGGTACCACGTGGTTTTTTGACCCCAGGTGGCTTGAGGGACGGGTGTGGCCTTTCCCTGACCAACCCCAGGTGAGTGTTGTTACTCGAGCTCAGGCCGCTAACGCGTCCACCTCGGAACCAACCAAAGGTGCGGTGTCCGTTAGACCTGCCTATTCGGGTACCGATCTTGTCAGTCTTCAATCCCGGGACCCTGCTATCAGTAGGATGATCAAGTACATTTAGGATCCTAAAACCCTGCTACCGACTTCCATCGAGCTTGACTCCGTTCCTGAGCTTCGGTCTCTCTTTCGCGTGCGGTCCACGCTGAGGATGGTCGAAGGGCTGCTGATGCACGCCGCCAAGCCTCCTTTGCCGCCCGTCCTTGTCACACCAAAGCCGCTAAGGAGGGGCATGATCACGCAGGCTCATGACTCTCCCTCCGCCGGTCACAAAGGTGTCAAGGCCACGTTCGGGGCCCTGAGCCAGGTTGCTTATTGGCCGGGGATGCGTTGTGACATCTCGGACCACGTCGAGCGTTGCTTGGTTTGTTGTCAGTTTCAGCCGTCCAACCCTACGCACAGAGCTCCCCTACAGGAAAGAGGGCTGACCACTCCATGGTCGGACTTGCATTTCGATTGGGTGGGGCCTCTGACCAAATCCACCAGGGGAAGTAGATATATGTTAACTGTCACCTGTGCATTCACCAAATGGGTTGAATGTTTGCCAGCACCTGATGACACGGCGAAGACGACAGCGATCCTCTTGATGAATCACGTTTTTGCCCGCTTCGGTCTGCCCACGCGGGTCAACTCGGACAGGGGTACCCATTTCACCTCTGAAGTGATGAAACATCTGTGGGAACTGTTGAGTGTCAAGGCTAAGTTCCACGTTAGCCACCGTCCCCAGTCTTCTGGACAAGTCGAAAGGGTGAACCGCACAGTTATCGGCATGTTGAAGAAGTACGTGTCAGCTAACCATCGAGACTGGGATGTGAAGCTTCCGTTGGTCCTCATGGCCATACGGGCTACCTCCCACGAGTCTACAGGTGTCTTCCCGTTTGAAATGATGACGGGCAGACAAATGACCCTACCTCTTCACCTGCTGTATCAACGGGTTCAGCCCGACACAGCCCCGGCTTGTACGAGCGGCCAATACTGGTTGAAATTTACTTTCATGTCTGGAGAACTCAGTTATAAAAAACTCAAAGGTTATCAAAAAGTGGCCCGAGAGGACTTGATTATGTGGAAATATGGTTATTTCCTCAGACTCTATGCCATAAGTCAGCACAAGGTCTAATGTATGATGGCAGGAGTGGGTGGAGCTATGTATTCTTTGGGTAAAACCAATTGAGTCTAAGATATGACTAAAGGCTACATTGAGGCAATCATTTTCAATGAAACAGACCATGAGCTGTATGACTAAAGCAGTGTAGCTGGAGTTATTTAGTTAGAACGCTCAGCGTTTACATGTTTCCATGGCAATGCCGGAAATCTGCTTCGTCTCTTCTTTCTCCACATGATTTGTTTGTCGTTCTGATGTTCTGTATCAGAATCTGAATATTTTTAGACTAGAGGCCTGGAGAACTTTGTGGCAGGCACGTGGTACTTGCTTGTAGCATAGGACAGGCCTTGTATATCTGAGCACTAAACCAGTACACTGTCCATAGCCAACTTCATCTGCCCAGAACACATGGTCCTGATGTCCTGTGCGCACACCTCCTCTGGACCATGAACGGAGAAGATGGAACATACACATTGGATCACGCATAGGACTGTGTCATCAGCAAGGAGGATGTGGGCAGTAGAGGGCGACACCAACCTCTGCTGCCCGCAGATAAAGAAAGTGATGCCACCATCACCGGCAATCTGAGGACGGCTAGAGCTACTAGCTTAAACATGTAAGGTAAACAAATAACTTTTACTAAACTGTGTAAGAAAAGAACAAAAATAAAAATGGATTATGGAAAAAACACAGTATGAACGCACAAAAGATGGTGTCACACAGTGAGGCAGACTGCATGTCTCGCTCCAGCGTCATCACCGCACCTTCCGAAAGCATACGTCACTAAGCAGACCCGCTAACCAAAACAAAGCTGAAAAGATAAGAGCACTTCTTTTTAGTGTCCGTCCATGACCCAACTCACCTTCCTCAAAGAGGAAGCTTCGTTTTTAAAACCCTTGCTTTAGCGGCAAACTCCGGCTGTGGGTCTCCTTTTCCCCTCTTCCAGCTGATCTGTCTGCTAGACATTCATCCCTCTCATCGTCCTTTATTAACTACAGAGAAGTAACAATCTGTCACATATCACTGCAGTATTTACACTTTTACCATGAATTCTGTCTCACTGCTCCAGAGCTCCGCGACGGCCAATCACATCCACTGTCACTTGCACCTTCCTCTGTCCCTCTGCAACAAAACGCTACTGAACGATCCTTATCAGATGATAAGCAATAACAGAGCAGTTCCCACTGCTTCTTCGGGAAAAGGCGCAAAATAAAAAAAATTTAAAAATCTATAAAACTTGGGATCTTGTAGGTGTGGCGCTGGGATTTCAGCCGTGGCGGGCCGCCACGGCTACGCCTATGTAAGGGAAACACTGAATAAAAAAAAATTTAGATAACAGTAATACGTGGACATAAGGTTTGCTCCTGCTTCAAATGATTACCTCCACGTGGATACCTTAATAATCTGCTGACTTGTGTGCTTCCAAAGGGATTATGCGAGACTGTTGAAACCATAGACTGTTCTTCGGAGTGGGGTTCGTATCTCACCACTGTTGGCCTCTTCCTGGGGAACTGCACCTTCCCCTGTCATCGGAGTCCCTTTAGGACTCTGGTTTGTTCAACGCCAGGTGGTCTCTGCACGGACCACAGTACCATTGAAAAGGGGGGATATGTAACAGAATGAAATGACTGATTTCCACTAAAAGTCATTTTCCCCCTCTCCTCTGACACATAACTAGTCTGCATGAGATAGAGCCTCAAGGTCTCATGCATTTGCTTATAAACTGCTTATTTTCAGCTCAACAGAATAATGAAGAATGGACTCTCTCCTTTTAATTAATCAAAGAACTCTATTTTAATAAAGCTAATCAAGCAAAGTGTTAGTCTATAAATAAGATGTGACCGATCTGTGAAATCAAAATATTAATTACCTTATTATAATACTATAGAATATGATGAGTACTATGACTTTAAATGTTCCAGTAGGACTGATCTCACGTAGCGTTAAAAGACATGACACTTTACTTTCACTGAGCCAATCAGAATCTGCCAGATCTGACGGAGGCGTGGTTTTGGTGGTGTTTGGTAAATCTGTCATCTTTTCATTCATTTCAAAACATCTGAAGTATAAAACTATGCCCACGTCATCTCTAACGCCAGTTAAAAGCGTTCTAGAGAAGTTGCCGGAGTGGCCAATCCGTAACTTTCCTCTTCAGCCGAAAGAACCCACGACAAGCTGGATAAAATCTGTTGCTGTTCCAACTGCTGCAACGGTTCCTTTCAGAATAAAAGCTGAACCATCAAGACCCAGGTTTGGGTCTCGCTAGATGCCAACAAAATTGTCGTGACCCGGAAGTATCTCACAGACTGGTCTGGTCGGCAACCCCCGCTTTTCCTACCAGCTTCGGTTCCAGAAAAGGTCAAGCTGGACCTCGACATTCATGATCTAACGGTGACTTCCGCTAAGGATATGTAGGCCGGCGAAATGGCATTGAATGTGTTTATGAATCTCCTAATCAAAGCTTAGCGCGAAGATATCACCTTCAATTCCCATCAGAACTAATTGCTTCTTCGGATTTGCTGGTTCTGAGCAACATTCCACGTCACACCATTCTCTAATCCCTGCATTAAAAAGTTCCAAACTTCTGGTTTAAAATAACTTTACAGATCCATAAGGTTGATTTCATATTTCCTATAGAATCCTACGTCTTATGGCTTATTAAATAACATGTAATTTAAATCATTACAATTTCAATTATGAAATCATAGCAATTCATATTTGTATGGGGCTTGGCCCCACCCCTTCAATAGGAACAAAAACAAGATTAATTTCTTTTTTGTAATTTTGATCACCTATGCCTCATGAGCAAATGCACATTTCCAGACAACCAACCAAAATCTCTAGAAGTTCAATCAAATGTGGACCTTACAAACTACCAAACAAGGTCAAAATTACAACTTCAATCGAGAAATTTCAGGACTCAGCTATACCTGCAGCAGGTCTTCTTGCCTGGTGGTAGCTGGCAGATCTCCAATAGAAATACAGTTTTTCTCTCTGCTACGGCACACACTGAGGCGGCAGCCAGGCTCCAGCTTGTATTTGTGCAGCAGATGGATGGCATTGGTAGCTTGATCAACCGTCCCATATTTGGCATATGCAAAGCCTCGGTTCTCTCCACTAAAGTTCATCATGAGCCTGAACTCCCAGAGTGGCCCCACGGAGCTGAACAGAGGGATCAGCACATCCTCATAGGTATCCCTTGGGATCTGGCTGATGAAGATCTCACAGCGAGCTCCTGGGGTGGGGCCATCCCAATCTATCCATGGAAGGGAAAGCAACAATTAATGATAAGTAAATTTGGTAAAACTTCATTCATAAATTGTTTCTAAAAGCACAAAAACCCGTTGACATTCATAGAAACAAAATACATCAAAGTAGATTCACAACAAGGCAAAATATTCAAAGACAGATTAAAAAAAGAAATGCTTTAGATTAGCTTTTAACAAAAACCACAAAAGCCTGGGAGCTACTTTTCAGCATTGTCTGATGCACCAGATGATCTAGGGATAAACATGACCTGCTGGACACATGATGTCAAACAAGAAACAAGATGACCCAGTAAGGTTTATATTGCAGACATGAAAACGGGCCAAGGATAAAATTGGTGAGGTTTTAAATGCTTGTTTATTACATTTGAATTATTATTTTTAAATTAACAACTTAAACAAGTCAGCTTTCAAAACTATATAGATTATCAATGAAATAAGGAAAACATGAATTTAAATGATTTGTTGTTTTGTTTGAGCCCAGTGGTCTCGTTTCAGAAATGTGATGGAGCGTGAACCAGGCTCTGCTGCTGAAATTATTAAAACTATAAAGAACTTCCTGTGTTCATCATGTGTTAATAAATGAATGGCATTTTATTTGTGTTAATGAGCTATAGACTTTAGATAGATAATAAAGATAGACTTTACAATCATGCAGAATATTTTATTGAGGTTTTTCTGAAACCAGCTGTAAAACTGACATTGCCCCGTCTTCTTTAGAAGCATACACCAGCTGCTGAGATCCTTTCTGCAACTCGAGCAATTAATCTGTAGATTTCCAGTAGAAAAAAAAGAACTGGAAAATAATCAGATTTTACTTCCACAAAATGCTAATTTTAAATCAAACATAAAAAAAAAAACTAGGAAAGCTTGTTATCCAATTTAAAAGCCGCCTGTCGTTGATTACAAGTCAGACAAGCTGGCTCGCTTGCATCTTCCAGGCGAGCGACTTTCAAGTGCGTCGCGAAGTGACGTGTTGGAGGCCCCTGATCTAGAATATTATATTACTTTTAGGAAAATAAATGAGTCTTAAAATAACAAATATTTTAAATGTTCGATTGAGTCACTTCATGTTACTCAGTTTTTGTATTTATCCCGACTGTTCAGTTTTTCCCAACATAGTTTAATAACATCTCACCTTCAGGAGGTCCTCCATATTTTCTCTGGCCATTAATTTGTTTCAGCTGTGTTTTAGTTTCAGACAGCCAGGCGTCCAGAGCCTCCACTCGCTTAATGCTGACGGTCTGAAGTGGAAAAAAATAGAACATTATTTATGGACTAATGCACCCAGCAGCAATCATGCAGTTCTGTGATAAAAACATGAGTTCTTCACACATCACAAGCACGCTTTCCGGGAAACAAGCTGTGTGAAAGAACGTAAAAACAAATGCAACAAGGCAAAAAAGTATTTGGCAGCCACCTCTGGCTTTCACTTCCTGTCCAGAGAAACCACCATTCTCGTCTGCCAGTCCAGTGGAACTGCCCCCAATGTCCACATGATGTTGCAGAGCCACGTCAGCCAACACAGCCCTACAACATCCAGAGCCTTAAGGAATTCTAGGTGGATCTCATCCATCCCTGGAGCCTTGCCACTGAGGAGTTATTTGATCACCTCAGTCACCTCAGCACCAGAGATTGGAGAGCCTACCCCAAAGTCCCTGGACTCTGCTTCCTCATTGGAAGTCGTGCTAGTAGGATGGAGGAGGTCTTCGAAAATACTCTGCCCACCAATCTACAAGATTCGGAGTAAATGTCAGCAACAGACCATCCCCACTATTAACAGTGCTGCTTTTCTCTCCTGAGTCGCCGGATGAGTGACCAGAATCTCCTCAAAGCTACACAAAAGTTTTGCTTCATGGTCTCACCAAACTCCTTCTACGCCTGAGATTTTGCCTCCATGAAAACCCGAGCTACATTCTGCTTGGCCTGCCGGAACCCTTTAGCCTCTTAAGTTCCATAGACCTAAACAACCCCATAGGACTCTTTCTTCAGCTGGACTGCATCCCTGGCCGCCGCTGTCTACCAGCAGGTTCGGGGATTGCCACGACAGGCACCGACGAGCCTGCAGCCGCTTCAACAACGGCAACATGGAACATGGCTTACTCTAACTCAGGGTGTGTCCGAATCCGTGCTAAGAATGCTTGTGAGGGTGCATTTTGAGGTTGATGACATCACAGCGCAGCAACGTGTACTATCCGAATTTCATGAATACTCATTCTCGTGTCCTCAAATGCGTCCTCGCTCCACCCACATTTCGAGGATGGGTTTGTTGTATCCTCACAGAACAAGGCTATCCCAGCAAGCTTTGCGCACCGGCTGTGGATTTTCAACAGGAAAATGTGGGAGGTATGACGTTTGAAACATAAGTTTATTTAAAAACTAGCCGTAGAAAACTAAAAAGCCTATTGCGGTTCTGCTTATAGACATTTTTCGTTTGTATATTTGCTTTTTAAATTATATTTTAAGCAGAAATCAGCCAGAACGAGTTTGTATCGCGGGTCCCGTAGTTATTCCCGTTTATGTGTGTGTATGTGTGTGTGTGTAGCAAATTAAACTTGTCATTTGTTTTAGGGACAACAGAATGTTTTTATTAAGCTTAGAGGTGAAGTGTGAAGCTGTCTACGCATGAGTACAGTAGTTCTTCTGTGTTCTGCTATGAAAAGTAGTTTACATTCAGTTTATGTTTTAAAGAACAATTAAAATCGTGTTTGTGTTTCTTTAGCAAATTAAGCTTCTTATCATTTGTTTTAAGGACAACAGAGCAAAGAAGCATTTTTATTAAGCTTAGAGGTGATGAGTGAAGCTGTTTACACACGACCACAGAAGGTCATCGTGTGTTCTGTTGTGAAAAGTACTTTTACATTCAGGGACTAACACAGCTGACACGTTTTAATGAAGTAAAAATTGTTTGTGTGAAGAATATAAGTTTTATCTTCTCATGTGGATGAATGTAAAAATGTGTTTATTGCCTTTTTGTCACCTGTGGCCTCTGATTTTCTCTGTAGGACTGCAGGTGTCATGGGTCAGGAGAGGCTTTACCTGTTGGTCCTCCTGGGAGAGAGGCCTTCTACTGTCATCATGTTAATGTTATTTAGCTGTTTGATATTTGAACACGTTTATTAAAACAAATACTAACTGGTAACTCTTTCTGGTCATTGATTTTATCACCAGTTTTATTATTACAGATGTTTTTGAACATGTTACATGAACAGAAAATGAAAAGATGGTAAGGAGACAAGATTATTTATATGTTGCACTTATTTACAGATCAAAACCAGTATGGACTTGTTATGTTCGGTTAAAGCAGGATTAACCTGAGTGACTCTTCCTGGATCATTTATTTAAACTGAGTGAGCAGGAAGTCTTTAACAGTGCAGCTGGATCTGCTGCAGGAGGATCCAGACGTGGATGGAAGGCTGGAGCAGACCCGTGGCTGGACGTTTCTGGCCAGAGGAACATCATACAGGACGGTCTGCAGAGAGAGCTTTGGGACGATTCCTCTCTCTGTCCACTCCATCGTCCATCTACAGGGCCTGCTGGGCTGGCTCAGACGACGGCTGTTACATCTCTAAGATGTATTCAGAAATACAAAATGAGATGGTTTTGGATCCACTGGTATAACAATTGTGACTCTTCAGCAAATAAAACCAGTGTTGTTTTTAATAGAGGTTCCTACACACTTGCCTGTTAACAGTAGTGGTGGTCTGCTGGTACCTCCTCCAGGACAGAGCACTGCTGACCACACACATCTTCCTCAGGCTCATCCTCCAGACCCACAACTTCACCAGCACAGAGGCAGATGTGCAGCACAGTGTATGATGACCTGTAATAGATTAAAAAAGAGGTTTTTTATTGAAAAATGTAAAACAAACCATATAACCTGCAGTACACTGGTTCTGTTCAGCTTAAAGAAAAGCAGCAGGGAAAACTACAGAGAATTTACATTTTTAAGACAGATCTAATCATTATTAGGCTTAAGTTGTATAAAGAAATGCACATTGAAAACAGTTCAATGCTATTTTATTAAAAAGCCTGTTTTTTAAAAACGTTTTACCCTCATTTGATGCAAAATAAGTTCTAAGGTCCAGTTTACAGTAGAAAACATCCTACTGCATTCAACATTTATAATGCATTTGGTTTATATTAACTACCTACATGATAATACTCAGTAGAAATGTGTTGTGTATGTTTAACAAGTTCATTCTGTAGCTTAAAACATACATGAAACCATCTAAAGTTAACATTTAAGTCCTGAAAGTTTCTAGAATAAACAAAGTTACTTTACCTGAAAACGGTTGTGAACAAACGCTGCTGATGGACGTGAAGCTGCTGTAGCTCCTTAATATTCCTGCTCCATTTTCGCTAGCTTTAGCATTTTTCCTTTGTGTGTAGCCGCCGCCACAGCTGTGACGGGACCTACGGGCCCCCGTAGAGGTGAAGGCTAGACTGTCCGAATTCAGAGCCGCTGGGTTCCGGTCTTAGCGGTCGAGCAAGGACCCGGCCTTGCTAGACCGGCGAGGACCCGTACTCATAAGCATCCTGCCCGTGGATTCGGACTAGGGCTGCTCAATTAATCGAATTTTAATCACGATTACGATGTGAGTTTTGAACGATTATAAAAACAAAACAAGCCGATTATTTGCTCCTCCCACTTGCGCTGCCCTGAGTTGCAAATGAAGCGCTCCTCCACAGTGTTGCCAACTTAGCGACTTTGACGCTATTTCTAACAGCTTTTCAGACCCCCTTCTTGACTTTTTAAATCTTAAAAGTACCTAGCGAACACCTCAGAAACATCTCTGGTAACCCTTAGCTACTGTCTGGATAACTGTCGTTGACATTTCCTGCAGGTTAACTAAACACTCCGCCTGCGCTCCGGACCGTTCTTCAGGACATTAGGAAAGGGAATGATGCAGTGATGTGTCAGTCGCTAAAGAAACGGCTCTCAGAGTCGGCTCTGTTGGATTAACCAGAGTGAGTGACACACACACCGTACCTGCGGACTCCTGAGCCACTAAAAATGGCTAAATGTGCGAGTGCGGCATACTAAACACACGTGCAGCTTGCCCCGATTGCTGTGAGACCGGGTTGGGGGGTGGGGGGTGCAGCTGTGGTTGGGACAATTATTACATTAACTGATGGACTTGTAAATACATAGTTTATTAATAAGGTAGAAATAAGTTCCTCACGCTGATAAATAATAACTAATCTCTCTGAGGACACGGTGCTAGTGCACGCTCCTACAGCACCTTGACACGACTCAATAAATGTTATGCAACATTCTGTTATCATCAATTTATTTGCATTTATTTGTTATAAATGCCACTGTATAATTCTTGCTGTCAGTATTTGCAAGATATTGGCATTTGGGTCTGTACTGGTTAGACTTAAATGAGTTAAACCAAGGTCTATAGCCCTTGGGTCATAAACTATGAGCTATAAGTATATTGGTCTTTTTGTACTGGGAATCAGGAGTTCTTTTAGTGATCATCTTGTTTCTTATTTTTGTCCCAATTGTGCCCTGAGCAATTTTATGACTGAATAAAAACAAATAAAATCAACATAATTTGAAAAATCGTCCTAAATGATCGTGATCTCAATTTAAGTCACCATAATCGTGATTATTATTTTTGCCATAATCGAGCAGCCCTAATTCGGACACACCCTCAATGTCCCCCGCCTCCTCCGGATCGGAACATTTTGGGAGTTATGTCGGAGGTGGGAATTTAAACTTTTTCTGACAGGAGTCAGAACGCCAGATGTTCCCAGAAGACACTCACAATACATTCGGACCTGCAAGGTCTGACCGGCATCCTCCCGTATTTTCCCTACATAGGCTCAGGTGGGGCACAGCCACGGTTAGAAACATTTTTAGGGGAAATAATGCTCCCCCACCATTGAAGCCAACCCACCACCAAGTACTGTGGCCGCAGACCAATTGAAATCAGATTAGTGTCCAGCCCCCTCAGGAAAACTGGTTCCAGTGCTAGAGCCATGCATCACGATGAGAACAACTAGATCTAGCTTTTGGTAGAAAATAGATGATAAAACACTAGGATTAGAAAAGCCTGATAGATCTACATCACACTGTCACTTAACATTCATGGACACACCCATTAGCAACTCCACCACCAGCAAAACTCCTTCAGGCTTGTGTTATTCGTGGAGTAAAAACATCAACGTTGCAAAGCAAACAGTCAGTGGTAGAATCGTGTTTCTGTTAGCCAATCAGAGGCAAAATGTCCAA